TCAGCCAGAGGGTGGAGAAATGCTCCAAATGTGTGGAAGGACGAGCCAATGACGTCCTATTTATAGGAGAGTTTTGCTTTAAATTTGGAGAAGGAGGAGCCAATTATAAATGAAGATACAACTGAAGAGCACAAAGATGCATGTTTTCAAAAGAAGTTTGATGATCAAGAGGAGAATGAAGATGATGAAAAACCACGTTCAAAAGAGAAGTTCAAGAAAAATGCTAAAGTGGTCCCACTCAAGAAGGATTGTAACAAAAATCACAAAAAGAAGAAACTGATCAAAAAGAGAAAAGACAGATTTTGAAATTCAAATTTAAATTAGGTAATAAAGATATTCAGTCAAAGAGGAGTATTGGAAATATGCCTAAATATCGTTAGGAGAATAAATTAGTTTTTGATAAGAATATTTTATTTATATTTCAAATATTTAGATTTAATCTGTTTTGATTATTTTAGGATTTGTTTCCTTATTTTTAGAATATGATAATATCAATATTTGATTTTGTATAACAAATTTTCTCTATAAATAGAGATTCATAAATAAAATTAGATTATGCTAACCTTATAAAATATCCCCTCAAATAAATATCATAAAATAACTCCAACAGTGGTATCAAAGCCGCCTGGTTGGATGCGGTAACAACCCTCACAACTCATAAAAAATGATAATGTGATATATAAAGACACGGATTGCGCTGCATAAAAGGTTAGATCCTTTGTTTGAGGAGAGGATTGTTGGGATACAAACTAGTCCCATATCGGTAAAATAAGACAAGAAATAACAACTTATATAGCACAAACATACTTCAATGATTGAGAGGCCTTTTATGTGATGACCAAAAGCAAAATTGTGAGGGCTTAAGCCCAAAGCGAACAATATCTCATCATTGTAGAGTATGTTTGTGTAATAACCTTATAAAAATAATCTTATAAAATATCCCCTTAGACAAATACCATAAAATAACCCCATCATTGGTATCTAGAGCTAAGGTTACGATCTTGGAGATGGAAGGAGAAACAAATTTTTCACAAATTTCTCCACCTATTTTTTGATGGAGAAAGTTACGATCTTTGAGCAGTGAGAATGGAGGCATACCTAGAAGTTTGGGATCTCTAGGAAGCCGTAGAAGAAGATTATGATGTTTTCGCGTTGCCTGACAATCCTACCGTAGCCCAAATGAAAATTCACAAGGAAAAGAAAATCAAGAAGGCAAAGGCAAAAAGTTATCTCTTTGTCTATGTTTCACAAAATGTTTTCACCATGATTATGACTCTCAAATTGGCAAAAGAAATTTGGGATTATTTAAAAGAAGAATATGCTGGAGATGAAAGGATTCGAAGCATGCAAGTATTAAATTTAATGAGAGAATTTGAAATACAAAGAATGAAGGAGACTGAGACAATCAAACAATACTCTGACAAACTACTTGGCATTGCTAATAAGGTACAATTACTAGGAACGCAATTTCTTGATTCTAGAATTGTTGAAAAAATTCTAGTAACTATACCTGAAAGATATGAAGCTTCAATAGCGGCCTTGGAGAACACAAAGGATTTGAGTAAGATCACTTTGACAGAGGTCTTACATGCATTACAAGCATTAGAACAACGGAGGCTTATGAGAGAAGAATGATCTATGGAGGGTGTATATTTAGCCAAATGGAAGAACAACAATAGTGGAAAAAACAAAAAGAAAGAATTGTTTCAATAAAATAGTCAAAATAATAGCACTGAAATTTTTCCATCATGTCTTTATTGCAAAAAGACTAATCATCCACAGCAGAGATATTGGTGGAGATTTGATTCAAAATGTGACAAGTGTGGACAATTAGGACACCTAAAACATGTATGCAAATCTCATGAGCTATAAGAAGAAGCCAACATTGTTGAAGATCAACAAGAAGAGGATGAAGAACAACTAACTTCAATGTCATGCTTTATGACCAAAAACCCTCAAAAGCTTGGATTATTGATAGTGGTTGTACAAACTATATGACTTATGATCGAGAACTGTTCAAAGAACTCAACAAAACTAATATCTCTAAAGTTCAAACAGGGAATGGAGCACACCTTACAGTATAGTAAAAGGCAAAGGAACAATGGTTATTAAAAGTCATTCAGGTTTGAAATTAATACCTGATGTTTTATACGTTCCTGATATTAATCAAAAAAATTTGAGTGTTGCTTAAATTAGTAACTTTTTGAAGTACATATGCATTGAAAATCAATACGTAATGACTTTTGAAGTACATATGCATTGGAAATCAATTTTAATAGACTTGAAATTTAAAGGAAAACAGACAACTATTGAATCATATTTCAATAGAGTGTAACATATTTTTTTTTCAGTTTCTATGAATTATTAATTTATGATTTTCTTGGGATCGAAAATTATAAAGGGATCTTCCGAAAAATTATTATCTTATTATTTTATCGAGTTTTCAATTTTTTACTTTGGCCCAAGTCGGGACTGGACAAATTTATTATTTTAGAGAGTTTATTAATTTACCGAGTATTAATTTAAAGAGTTTCTTCTGTATATCTTTAATTTATTGAAACCCCTCAATCTTTAATTCTACTAATCGGACTATATGTTATTTTTAAATTTGAACTCCTAAAATTTATTTGTTATGTATGACATTTTATTTTGTATGAATGAACTTGTTTTGATTTACATAATTATGATTGATTTAATATCTTTAAATAGGATAATTATTTAATACAATTTTGAATTTAAAAAAAATTATTTTTCATAGAATTTCCCACAAATTTCCTACGGATTTATCAGTGGGTAATTTCCCATGGACTAATCCGTGGGTAATTTCTCACGGACTAATCCGTGGGTAATTTCCTACGGATTTGTCCATGGGTAATTTCCCACGGATAAACCCGTGGGAAATTACCCACGGACTAATCCGTGGGTAATTTCCCACGGATAAATCCGTGAAAAATGTAACATCCCGAATTTTTCTGCTAATACTATGAATAATTATTATTTATTTTTGTATTTATGAAGATTATTTCCTTATAATTATTTTGATTAATTAAATGGGTTTGATTGAAGTTTTAAAGGTTTTTAATAATAATCATTTATGAAAATTATTTTGTATAATATTATTAATTATGATATTTTGTTATAATTCACTAGTGCAAAAATTAGATTTAAAATCAGAGTTTTAAGATCGGTTACAAGGTAACCGATCTTAAAAGTGACGTGGTAGCACTTTTGTAAATAATATAAACACTTTTAAGATCGGTTAGAATTTAACCGATCTTAAAAGTACTTTTAAGATTGGTTATTTAATGACCGATCTTAAAAGGTGTACATTTAAAATCGGTTCAAATATAACTGATTTTAAAAATACTTTTTAAAATCAGTTATATTTGAACCGATTTTAAATCATGTCTTTTTTACTACTTTTAAGATCGGTTATGTAGGAACTGATTTTGTATATAACATACAGAATCGGTTCTTGCATAACCGATCTTAAATATCCTATAACTAAGCTCTGATAATCGATTTTCCTTTCTATGTTCCCTTTTACGTTTCTTCAATCTGCTTCGTTCGTCCAGGTTCACAAAGAGGCAGCTGGCTATTCGACTTCAGGTTCGTTTCTTCCTTCATTTGTGCTTAGGGTTTCACTAAAACAAGTCTCTTTTGTGTTTGATTTTGGTTGCATTCATCATTGTCTGCCAAGGGTTCCAGTCCATAGAGGGAAGGCATCTCAAGTTTGATAAAACGCATAGTGCCATTTCAGTCTCAATAACAAATGTTGCCGACGAATCAGGGTCGACTCCACCCTCCACCGGCCGCGACATCGAAAAGGTGGGAATTAATAAAAGCTGAAAAAGACAGCGGAACTCTGTTCTTCTACAATCTTTCAACTCAAACCTCAACTTGTCTACCATTCTCAACTATCAAGCTCCATTGTCATCAGTCATGTACAGGAACGTTGCTTCACGTCTTAGGACCTTTAGGGTTTGTTTGTATCTTTTTCTTCTTCCATTTCCCTTTATCAATTTATTGTTATGCCCTAGATCTCATCACTTATTCTTGATTGTAACAAAATTACCTTGATTTTTCAATTGATTAGTGCCTATGCAAAATCTGGTTATCTGATAGTTTGAGTTTTATTAGGTCCATTCGTGCAGCAGACTACCTGTCAGATTTGCCAGTTCTGTTGCCTCGAAACAATCCTCTTCTGGTTTATTTGGATGGCCCACCAGAGAACGATCCAATTCTGTTAGCGATCATAAAATTCAATGCAAAAAGTGCAACAATATATTTCAGCTAGGATGAATCTGACTCTGCTAACATTTTCTGCCCAAATATTCTCAAGTATATGCTTGCGGTTTTCTCTTTAAGAAAATTGTGTGCTGATGTTGTTGTTGTTATCTACCTCAGCTGTGTCATGCTCGAGGGTGTGCTTTTGGCTTGCCTCATTTTGCACTGTTTACATGTGTAGAGATGGTCAAATATATAACTGTAAATAACATGTTATGTTTGTAGAAGTTATTGAGTCAGAAGATTGATAATTGTCTCTCTTTCAAAAAATTGTATATTCTCACTCGACAAAGTTAGTTTTGTATAAAATTAACCGATTAGCAATGACTTCTATGTTCCTAATAATGCTTACATGTTGTGGGACCCTTAGAAATTTTTTCTTGTATTAATATTGCAATTATATGCAGCTTCTAAAAGTGAAAGCTGAAATTGGTGAAGTTTCCAAAAATCCTCAAGACTTGCTTTTGGAAGCAATTCATTCTGCTGGTTTTTCAGGTGCCTTGGCAAATCCTCTTTTAGCTTCAGAATCAGCAGTAAATAATCTAAATGGTACAATTCTGGAGGAGTTTGTTGCTGTAAGTCTTAAAAATTATTCTTTATATAGTACTTAATAATGTTAATTTGTATTTCAGAACTTTAAATATTCTTAGCAGTTTTTTACCTTTCTTATAAGACTTAAACTATTATGAAACATCAGGAGAACTATACAGCACCTCGGATAGTACTTGCAGCTTCTGGTGTTGAACACGGGGAATTGTTATCTGTTGTAGAACCTCTTCTGTCTGATTTACTTAGTGTTCCACGTCCAGAGGAACCAAAATCAGTATATACTGGAGGTGATTATAGATGTCAAAGTGAATCAGGGGTATGCAATAGAAAAATATAACTTCTGTTCAAACATTGGGTTTCTATTTTTTGGGCTGAAATTTGTAGTCTAACACTCCTTGAATGACCAGAGAACCCATTTTGCTCTAGCATTTGAACTTCCTGGTGGCTGGCATAAGTTGAAGGATTCTATGGTTTTGACTGTTCTTCAGGTTTTGATGTCTTATATTTACTTGCTTTTTTACACTTATTTCCCTTCCTTCTTTTATGGTGGGTAAAAATATTCTGGAACATGTATTGTCTAGTTGGTTTCTTAAAGTATGTTTGCGCTTTACAATATGGTTTCTGTTATTTAAGTTTGTATTTAACTATATTATATCATTTTACTATAGATGCTATTGGGAGGTGGTGGATCGTTCTCGGCTGGTGGCCCTGGTAAAGGAATGTATTCAAGGCTGTGTAAGTTATCTTGAAATATTTAGTTTCTTCTAACTTTGAAGTTGAAGTTAGGAACAGATAATGAAACAACTACCGATACTCAGTTACTTATAAGGATGCATTACATGACTACTATTTGTGGCGGTCAATATTTGATGTATTACTTTTATACTTGCTCTTTTATTGCTCAATTTTTGCAGCTAAGCACATTGTGTGCCCCCTCCCCCACAAGAAATGTATTCTTTTAATTGTTAAATTGTATTACCTTTAACATTTTTGGTTTTATGACATGCAGATCTTAATGTTCTGAATGAATATCCACAAGTTCATTCAATTTCAGCATTCAACAATATTTACAATAACACCGGCATTTTTGGTATCCAAGTTACAACGGTAAGTTTATCCAACTACATTGAAATTTATCCAACTCCGACAAATTAAAATAAATTTATCTAGACATAGACAAGATAAACAAAAACACGAACAAAGAGAAAATAAAATAAAAAAACCGTAAATCTTTAAAATATATAAGTTTATCACTCTTCACTTTATCATTTTAAACTCTTTTTCTCTCTCTTCATTGTAAAAATTGTGCAAATATCACTTCTATTAAAAAAAAATAATCATAAACCCCAAAGTCAACGATTTAGAAATTAGAATCCGTTCTATGTATGTTGAAATCTAATACCGCGTGGAAAATACAGCTATACATGTAATAGCAAAGTCGTGATATATGCCAAATGGAAGGGTACTTGAAAAGCATTTCTTAGATAATTTAGAGCAAACCCAAAAATTTTTGTTTATTCAAATTGACCATAGTAATTAGAAATTTAATTTTCCGTAGCTAATTAAGCACTTTTCTATTGCAATTAGGAATTAGTTTTTCTATTTTTGATAAACATAAAAAAAGAAGAAGGAAAATGGCAAAGGCTAGGAAAAGATTCCACCACCGACGTGCATGTGTGCCCTCTCGTGATTGCTTTATTCCTTTCTTCACTTATATTATATTTATAGCTATTCATTTGCTGTGGGAACATGTACTTTTCTTCTTCTGCTAACATTTACATTTCATAATAAGAATAAATAAATAAATAATAATAAAAGAACATTATAGAATCCCGTGAAAAGGAAAGCGGAATGTGAGTGCCAGATACGGGGCAAATAAATTCTCAGATTTTTTAAATCCATGAAATTATCATAATCAACGAAAAAATATTTAATTAAAGAACAAGGTTATTATATATTAAAGCGTAATGTTAAGTATGGTATTGTTATTGTTACCATTTTTCTTTTCACTTTTGCCTTTTATCTTTATCTTTTTAATTTATTGGTCAGTTTATGATATATGGTGGGTCAAGCTTTTTGCTTAGTCGAAGTGTGTTATGAATCCAACTTAGGTTTGTTCTTTTGACTATTATACCTAATTTGCCACAATCGTTGCAACTTGATGTTGATCCACCCTAATCAGCGATCTCCTGGAAAAATTGCCTAATTATTAATTTTTTTAAGTCAATTTTTTTAATTACTATTCTATTAAAATTGATTTTATATTCTTTTTGTAGTCTCATAAACAAAAAGGGAATTATGAGTGCGGATACTATGTAATGAAGACAATGCATACTATTGTCGATTCACAAATAGTATCTGGGTGGACTGAAATAAGTTTTACAATTTTGATAGTTTTTGTTTTGAGTTCTCATTCTATATATTTTATGAATTATTACTAATTATTTTATTTTTTCTTAACAGATATTTATAGATCGATCATCATTGCCGCTAGAAGACATAAACATCATTAGGGAGCAATGGACCACATTTTTTATTGATCATTACTTTAAATAGTTTGGACTTATGTTTTATAGTATTGCTTTAACTAGTTAGAACTTACATTTCATTGAGCAATGTAGTCCATTAATGTATTACATGTATTTAAAACTATTCAATTATATATATATCATTGACATTTATCATGTCGTCATTTGTATGCAATTTGCTTCATTCAGAAAATATTTTGAACTGTCTAGTATTTATTCTGCAGCTTTTTTATTCAGCGATCACTACTTTTAAGATCGGTTATGCTATAACCGATTTTAAAAGTCAAGACTTTTAAGATCGATTATAAAACAACCGATCTTAAAAGTCTTGACTTTTAAAATCGGTTATAAAACAACCGATCTTAAAAGTCGAGACTTTTAAGATCGGTTATAAAACAACCGATTTTAAAAGTCGAGACTTTTAAGATCGGTTAATAACCGATTTTAAAAGTCCACCTTTTCAAAATTGGCTCTTTTAAAATCGGTTCCACAACCGATTTTAAAAGTCAAAAATAACCGATTTTAAAAGTCTTTTTTTCACTAGTGATTATTATTTCAAGAAAATCATGTTTTAAATTGTATTGTAATTATTATTTTCATTTAATATATATATATATATATATGTTATTTATTTATTTATTAATTAACAATTTTGGATTTTCATAGCTCTGGAACGGTCCGTTCCAGTTTGGGAACGGGCCGTTCCAAATCAAGCATGCGTGGGTAAAATTTTAACCCAGAACGGGCCATTCCACTTTGAAAACGGGTCGTTCCAGATGTGGTTTTAAAGGACAAAGTCTTGACTCAGAACGGGCCATTCTGGGAGAGATTTGTGACCATGTTCTATGTGCCCAGATCGGGTCGTTCCGGATTTGGAACGGGCCGTTCTGGCCGCAGCCTAATAATGCCTATAAATGCTTTCCGGCACTCCAAAAAAAATGCATTTTTCACTTTTGACCCTTTTTCTCCTACACTTTCTGGGAGACCAAGGGGAACCCGGAGGAGGAGATCCTGCTTCAGTTTCAACCCTTGTTCATCGACGTAAGGGGGGAGTGAGAAACCTTGCTCTAGGTGTGGGATTGTATGCTCGGTAGTGGGATTGACCCCCAATCCTGTTGTATTTTTTTGTATGCTCATGTATGAGGGATTTCTCCTAATTGTATCTGTTTTGTTTATTATTTTTCTTATATGCAATTAATTGTATGATTTGGGATCTCTATGGGTTCCTTTGGGAAACCCTATGAGAAACAGACAAAATATAAACATTTTCTGTTTTGCTATTTGATTACTCTATTGTATTCCTTGTTGAACGTAATGTGTAAATATGTGTTTAATTTTGAGAATAAATATGTTTTGATATGATTAAGGGTGCTCTATGGGTTCCTGCGGGAAACCCTATGAGAAATAGGCAAAATATTAATATTTTTTGTTTTGATTTCTGATTGTTCTGTTATATTACTAGTTTGATGAGATGTAAAAATATGTATTTAATTTTACAAATAGACGAGTTTTGATATAAATTAAAGTGCTCTGTAGAGGTTATGTGAATATGATGAGATAATGTGATAATGTAATATGAGAATGCATAGAGTCTTGATTGACATGCATCATTTGCATAAATGTTTTAAGGGTACGATATGGAATACACCGCCAGAGAAGGCCCCCTAGTGTAAAAGCTTTGGGGATTAGTCCTTGGGGATAGCTCGGTTTGGAAGTCCCAGTCTCGCCCATTGTGTGCATGGGATGTATCTTGCGCGGCTTAGCTATCCCGACGAGACTCTAGTAGTATATCCTTCTAGTGAGAGTGCGCAGAGGGTGTGACCCGGCATGTACTCCTAGACTACTCTTCGTGTATTGCTAGCGGCAATATGCCATGTGATGTTTTACTGGCGCCACATGCATGATAATATGTAGTCCGTGTCCATGCATATGCATTCTTAATGTTATATGATAAAGTGATGGTTTATGTCTTGGATGAGTGTGATGTTATTATTAATTTATCTATGTTATACTTATTTTGTTTGTGTTTGGCTATTCGGCGTGTATTTCTACACTGTGAGCCAGAGTGAGATGTTTCTCACTCCCTTTTCTCGTGTTGTTTTGTTTTGACTGTTATACAGGTGATCATCAGCGTGAGGCTGAGGATGTTGGTGATGAAGCTTAGGCTTCTATGTTGGGTTTTGCTCTGATAGGACATGTGACATCGGGACATAGATAGGATTAGTTTAAAATGTTCTTATTAAATTATTTTGGAAAATTCAGTTTTATTTCTTTGTAATTTTACCGGCATGTTATTTGGATTAAGTTTATGAATGTGAACTCTTTACCCTTACGTGGTTGTAATTACCTTTATTTATTTATTTTTTTTTTAATTACTGTATATGTATGTTGGGGTAGAGGGTGTCACATTAAGTGGTATCAGAGCAGGTCGATCCAATCGACCGTGTGTGTTATGTGCTTATCACGACTCTGTTGTGTACTCTGACTGTGTCTTGTTTGTTGTGTACTATGGTGATGTTTTGCTTTGATGATGATGATGTTCTTCTTGTGTTGATATTGTTGAGTTTGATATTGTTAAGTTATTTTGTAATTAGAGGAATGATAGTCATGATAGTGTTAGCTAATACCATTATGATCGCTCTTCTTCATTCTTATGATTGCTTATTTGTTTGAGACTTCTTGCTTACGTAAGAAGTAGTGGTTGAGTGATATCGCTTGTGTTGCAAGAATATGTGCGAGTAGTGGTAGACGAGATATTGTGCTAATATTGTAGGAACTATATTGAGGCCTTAGATTTGGGTAAGAGATTGAGTTTTTTTAGTGTATTAATAGTTTATGATTGGTGGAACTTTTGAAAGCTATAGTTGTAGCGATTGAATCTAAGGATGATGTATGTTGAGAATTGGAGTTTTGGTATTCTTAAGGAGAGATTGAAGTGTCGATGATTTCTAGAGTTTGTTGGTTGCATGTTGACCTTTTATGGTTTAGGTAGCATGTGAATTTTATTTTCTAAGCCTTTTGTATTCAATATGTGAGTTGTTTTAGTTTAGGAGTGTAGTGGAAAGCTTGAATATGAAGTCGAGGTATGAGTTTGGAAGGGTTGAGGTATTTTTGTGGGCTTAAATACATTGATATACTATTGTTGTTTGGTGTAGAGGATATTTTCGCTGCAGTTTTGTTGTGCCAGGATGAGTACCATATTGACAGATTTAGATTTTATGGTCTTCACAAAACTTGTAGCCTTGGATGTCATCTTTCCAATGGAACTGGAATCAGGTAAAACTCTCTGTGTGTTATTTTCTTTGATAGTTTTTGAAAG